TCGGTGAGTGCACTGCCTCATCCCTGAGATTTGCATAGAAAGAACCCTGGGAGTTGACACTTTGTTTATGTAGCTGGAGGTGCAAAGGATATGTGAGGTGTCAAGTGACTCACACTGAAGTTTTTAATAAGTGCCATTTGTTCAATCTCCTGTTCAAACACTCCCGTCGCCTTTCTATGTCCTTTAAAGACTGCATGCCACGCTATCTTTTAATTAAGTCTGGGCCTAATGTGCCACTTAATTGACTAATCTGAGAGATTTTGTTTTCTCTAATTTACTTGAAAAACCATCGGTGGCTAAGCTTTTTAATATCGGCCTGATGAGGCTGGATACTCGGTGGATGTCGCAGCGGTGAGTTCAGGCGAGTACTTGACAGGGAGAGAAACAAAGTAGCATTAACTCCTCTCTAATTCCTATTGGCTTTGACAGCAGCTTGCTGGCTAACTAGGCCACGCTGTCATCGTCCTCGAGTACTTCTTCAACTTATCCTTGTTGACTTGCGAGTAAAAGTAACATTTGCATATAATAATAGCGTACATTTGCGATAATGTTTCTAATCGAGGGTTTTCCAAACAGAGATCATAAACCGCATCCACACAAGCTGTCACATACCTCAGTGACCCTCGGGCTCTTGGGACCATAATTTTAAACCGTTCCCCTCCGGATTCATTATGTCACCTGAATGTACAGGAGCCAGGATCGGGGAAGGATCGCTTAGTAGTAGCTCCTGGGAAAACGTCTGCATTTGTATCTGGTAGGAATAACTTAAAAAGAGTGAAGAGTAAAAGTGTTACATTTATACTTTCCCTTCACTGTTTAAGCAAAATAAAACAACAACATTATTATGAGGAATACGGATTAATGTTGCTAGCAGTTGTAATGATATTTTGAGCACTTTAAGAAGGAATTGAAGAATGTGAAGATTTTCTTTAACTTCCCTGAATCTTGCTGTTTTTTCCGAGTTTTTCTAGCCACCTGCTGCCATCTAGTGCATGAGTGTATAATTGTTCGTACAGTCTCCGTGGCGCAGACAAATGAAGATAAATTATTTGCAGTAATTACAGTTCAGCAAATGCAGTAAACACTTTTCTGACCAATTAATGAATGAAATGAAATTAGAACAATCACCATTGATCTCACACGGCACATTAACGTATCACTGCTGCACGCCATGATAATGTGAGAGCTGTTTTAGAAACGAGGCTTTCACTGCTGCACGCCATGATAATGTGAGCGCTTCTCTGTTTTAGAAACGAGGCTCAAAAAAAAGTGTGATTTTCAGAAATAAATACTCATGTGGACAGAATCAGTTTTCGAGGAGGACAAATGCCTGGCATCGTGTCCCCCGCATTAGAGGCCCGTGACTGAATGGAAAAGTGCGGTCAGAGGAGGGTGATAGGAGAGCAAAGTGAAAGTGCTGTAAACAATGACTCACATAACTGGCTGGAGAAGATGAGGAAGACGGGCCAGAACTAGTCGACATGTGTGAGTGTCAGAGAGAGAGAGAGAGAGAGAGAGAGAGAGAGAGACAATCAGAGCTCTGTCCCAGAGTCTCTGTTGATGGACATTTGTACTTGGACTTCCATGTAAAATAATGAAAGACCCAGACAGTTGCATGTGTTAAAAACAATCCTTTTCTTATGCCGCGCTCACAGACATATCACAGGCAAACACTCACACACACACACACACACACCCCGACACACACAACAATGCAATAAATAATTAAATCTCCTGTGGCTGCCCTCAGAACTACAGTGATACATTAATTGGGCGAAATTAGCATGAATTAAAGCAAATAAGTGTAACATGTAATTTATAACTTATCAAGCGTAGTTTAGCAGAGGAAGGCTCCGATTTCCCCCAAGATTGCTTTAACAGCCATAATGCATTTCTTAATTTACTCTGTGGAAAATCAATTTTTTTCAGAGTTCATTAGGCACCAATATGTTACAATGCCGCTCCCCTGAGCACCGCGATACAAAAAACATTATGCAAATTCCTGCCAGTGCATCTGTATGTAAATAGCATCCAAGGCTGCAGCCAATTCTCCGTGGGAAGCTTTGTTAGCGGGCGCTTTGTTTCCAAGCCTGGGCCTTGTTCATGATAGCCTGGAAATTAGGAAAACCGAGAGGCGATAGAGGAACCAAACGTCCTCCCTCTGTTGGACTTGGACTCGCGACTGATTCCCGCTGTCATTCCGCCAAAACCTCGTTCCACCAATCGTGCCCATCACGCCAGTCTTCCTTTGGGTTGTTTACATCTTCCTGGGTAGTTTGTGATTGTTTGTGGTGTGTAACATTAAACTTTTCCTGCTAAAGCCGTGTAATCAAAACGTTCTTTGAAGACGAAAATGAAATCAGGCAAAGTTCACTGCTCTGCTTCCCACTGTGGGCCCGCGCCGTGGCAGGAACTACAAAAACTCCTCTGTGAAAGTCAGGAGTGATGCCACGAAACAGTCACGAGAAGCCACAGCCTAATCCGACCGGCGTTCCAGCTGATCACTGGTTTATGGTCGACTCTGCACTTTTCCATCGCGGAGGTGCAGTGTTTACGTACCAGTGTGGGACAGTCAGTCAGTCCACCTAACAAAACAACAATGTTGCCCACGACAGTTTAAACACAGCGTCAGTCAAAGTGAATAAACTAGTGTTTGATGATGGTGGACAAACAGACTCCTGGTTTAGTGGAAACTCATGGATTTCAGTGCTGTGTTTTAATGCGGTGAAAAAAAACAATGCAAAATAAATGATAATTAAAAATTCGGACAGTAAAAAAGCCAAACAAAAATAACTAAAAGGCTGTTAAAACGATTTGAATATTAGCTTAATGTTAGCTAAAAAGACTGAAACCAGAGCTAATGTAATTAGCCAACAGTCAGGCTAAATAAATCCAAACAATAATTAAGCATGAACTCAAGTTAAATTATCTTAAAATCTCATTCAAATTAAAAATTATAACATAGAAAAGAAAATATAATGTAGCTGATAAAAAAGTAAACTAGTATTAATTTGTAGGATAAAAAATGTCCAGAAAGTTTAGCTTAAATATAGCATTAAAAGAGACAACAATTGCCCAGAGACAACAGACCACCTGTCTGTATTTCCATGTATTTGATGTGTATTTGACAGTAACTGTTAGGCTACTAAAGTATAAAGTATTTTTTATATACTTCACAACACTATAGTAAAGGAAAAAAAATCAATACTGCACTGTGTACATTACAATTACGTAGGCTTTTATTTTGAAAAGTCGGTGTGAGAAGTGGCTGTTTTGACAGCAGGTGGAAATGATGACCTTAACGAGTGACTTCACTGGTCACTGGTCACTGGTCACTGACCTGCAGGCTCCACTGGATTAACCTCACTACAAACTCTGATTATTATTTTTTTTAAAGGAACAAGGCTGGAAAAAAAAAGAGTAAAACAGTACCAGGAACTGACTGACTGTTGGCCATTTTTGGACACTTTTGGAACTTTTAACTCGATGGAAACCCACACAGAGCTGAAGACGTCCATCTACACTGACTGCAGCTGTGAGAGACTCCTCCAGGTGCAGGTCAGTCACGTTTCATTTGACATGTATAATAATGGAGTAAAAAAATGTGAATTTGTTTGTTTTTTTTTGTTCTGCTGTGGCTGCTGTTGAATATTGTTCCACTTTGGTCCTTTGTTATTGTGGTAACTTGGTTTGAAAAGTGTGTTTTTAATGTCTTTTCACCCAGACAGTGTCGGCTTGTTTTCATATTTTTATTTTCAAAATGTAAAGGTCAAAACAAATGTTTTAAATACATGTTGGGTCAACTTCAGTGGGGCAGTGGCATGAGTCCTGCCTACCACTGAAAGGTTCAGTGTTCGATTCTACTGAGTGCCCAATTCCAATGTGTCCATCCTAAAAAAATGTTCCAAATCCCTCTAACGACTTCTTCAATGGCGCCCCCTGTTGGAATGCTCAAGCAACAACAAAAAAATCATTTAGCTTTTTCCTGGCTAACATTAACCAGTTTGTGATGTGAAGTATTGTTGAAGTATTTGTGGCAGGAATGTACTGTATATTTTGTCTAACTAAATGTTAGAGTTTAAATGTTAGATATTTAAGGCCATTTTTTTTACGTGCGTTTTTTTATCTTTCTCGTCTCCGTCTCGTGTTGCGGAGCCAGTTGTTTTGGTGCAGGCAGAACGACGCCTCCACCTGCGTGAGTTGGACTCTTGCCATGAAGTCGAAAAAATGAAGTCGAAAAAAAAAAAACCAGCCCAGAGGCCGCGTGGGCCATATGGCTGTACACAGTCTATTAGCTTGTAGTACATATAGCGTAAATTCACAACAGTGACTTGAACAGGAACTAATTAGTGGTGTGTGTAGAATTTCCATTTAATTTAAAGCTCAGATAATTGGTTGAGTGTTGAATAGACGCGAACGTCTCTGCGCTCGTCAGCACCAGAGACGGCGAGCGCGTGTGATTCTTTAAAAGTGGATGCTGTCGTTTGGTGTAGTTGTTTTGTTGTTGTGCATTTATGATCCCACGATTAATCATCATTAGTTGATTAATCTGTATAGTGTTTATATCATTTTTTTATGTAAATGTGTATCTTGTTCTGAGCTATGAGTCGATTGGAGGTTGAAACAGTGATGACTGTGGTTAAAAAATACAGCCTCGCCCCCCAAAAAAAAAAGAAAAAAAGAAATTATAACAACATTCGTTCTTCTTTTTAATTAGTTTTTGAATTGACATTAAACTCTGCTGTCATTGCCTTTTCCAAATAAGTCACTGATGTCAGCAGCATCCCTGACCTTTGACCTTTTCTGCTGCTCTTTCTGCTGATTTTTTTTTTTTTTTTTAGTGATGGGTCAACCTTTTTTAAGTTTCCAAAAACAGCTCAGCACCACATCTCTCTCTGATGAAGTGAATTTGAATTGTTTTTTCATTCCCTTCACACTCCTTCTACTGTAAAATTCCAAATTTCCTCCTTTTTCCTCCTCCCCCTCCTCCTCACTCTTTTCCCTCTTCCGTGTTGCCGACTGTCACATCCCAAAAGGCTTACATCACATTGTGCACAACTTTTAGTACCACTCTGTGTGTGCGTGTGTGTGTGTGTGTTTGTTTTGTTTTTTTTTTTGCTCTGTGCATCACAACCGCTCGTTTGAATTAGAGCCATTCCGCCGCCGCTCCCACAGGGAAACATCAAGTAATAACTGCCATTCCCCGGCATGCTTGTTTGACTAATTTACGCTCAAACGAATGTCACCGCGCGTCTCCAGGTGGTCCTCGCTGCCACGTCTCTGTGTACGAGCTGACACTGTTTTTGATGGCTCCACCTGAGAGAATTGCCCAATTGTGGCTGGATTTTATTTTATTTCTCCCTGTGGTGTTTTTGTTCAAAGTTTCCGCTCTGGGCTTGTTTACCCGTAAATGTTTTTGTGATTTCCCAGAGCAACATAAGAGTCACCGTTTTTTTTTTTTTTTCATTTTCCCCTTCATTATTTGTTACCAGAAACACACAGACATTGTTATTCATCTACACACACACACACTTTTTACTCAATAGACGGTGTATAAACAAAAATTGTTCCCATTAACCTGCGATTCCCTCTGAGAATTTTGCTAACATGCTAAGCGCTAAAGGACCACGAATAAACACACACACACACGTGCGCGGCCTGCATACTGACAATAACACATCCGTCCTTCAGTGCTTTAGCTCTGCTGCTCCTGCCGTCTGTTTAGCCTAATTGCTTTAGCACTAGCCCGGCATGCTAATTGCGCCGAGCCCTCTCCTCGCCGCGTCATTCACATGGCTGACTTGATTTGGACTTGAATGGTTTTGGAAGGTCTGTGGTTTGAGTCCCAGTTCTCCGTTCTTCTCTGTTTGTTTCGGCAAATCCATGAACTTTCGTTGTACTCGACTGGAACTTTCTAAGGGGTTCCAGTGGTGGAAAAAAAAAACTGGCTCTGGTGCAAAGAAAAAACTTTTCTTGTATTGACACTTTAGTTTCACTCGGTGATGAAATCAAAGGGGAAAATTGATGAGACGGTGGGCAGTGCCGTGTCTGGACACTGGGCGAAGGGAACTTGTGGATGAGGTTGGAGAGAGTTTTTTTTTTTTTTTTTTTTTTTTTTTCTTCTTTATGGCAGATGGCCTTTTTGATGTGGATCTAAAAGAGTTGGACAGACAGCGGGAACACAGAGGGCTCATACAGTACAGTCAGATCACATGGTGAAATTCAATCAAAGGCCAAATGCTATTTCAATTTCTTAGAAGTTGAGTCCATCCTGGTTTTTACAGTGGGTCAGTGTTTCGTCCACTTCTTCTCCACACATCGTAGAGGGTTTTTTTTTTTTTCCTGGTCCTGAAGAAAGATGTCGACACTTTGGCATGTTTGATTTGTCTTTCTGTGTGAGTCTCCACTGAAGATTAGTTCAATGTCACAGAGAGAGTTTTTCAAAGAAGGAACCAAAAAAACCCACGTCTTATAAACAGAGTCACGGTTATTGGATTAACTTTGTTTTTAAAGTCCAGGAAAAACACAGTATTAAAAAAAAAATCTGAGGAAAAAAAAAAAAACTGTGACAAATGTTCATGATGCGTTCAAAGACCTGGTTGCTGTTTGCTTCCTAACATGTTTTTACTTTTATAACATGACAACAACACAGAACTATTGGTGCTTTTACAGCCAAATGTGTGTGTACAGTGGTGCAGTGGTTGGGCTGCAGCCCACGTGGGTTTGATACCACACCCAGTACCTACGTAAATCCAAAGTTGGGCTGCGTTTGGATGTCGGCTGTAAAAACAAAATATCACTTTGTGTTGACGTTTGATAAAGGGACAGTGATGTGAAGCAAACCTGACGTGTTGACCAGAGGGACTGACCTTTGACCTTTTGTGTAGATGTTTTAGTGTAGTTAATAATTTTAAGTAAGTTATTTTCTTAAACTTCAGAGCTGTTTTCCTTAACAAAAAAACATCATTTTCTTCTTAGTCAGATTTTTTATTATTTGTGCAGTTTTTTTAAAAAGAATTTGGAAAAATTAAGGCTTTTGTAGACAAATTAAATTATCTTTTCAAACTAACTCTGACTAACTCTTAGTTACATCTCAACCTTTTAGCAGCGTCTTTTTTTTCATTTTTACTAGAATTCAGTTTTTTTTTTGGTTAGAAAAGGTATGTTTTTTTTTCACCATAAACTGTAAATAAAGAACAACAAAAAACAACAAATGTAAAACATTTTCATTTCAAATAAAATTTGTCTTTAGATGTTTTTATTGTGAATATTTGGAGATCAGTTCCAACATATTTAGGTGTTTAACATTTTTAACGCTGATAAATATATAGTTTAAAACATGACTCTACATCGATCGTTAAAAACCTCACTGTCAACAGTCGAACTCTCAGCAAAGTAACAAATCCTGCACAAAAAGTTTCACTTATTATTTCCAGTCAGGAAAACACACTGTGAACTAAATAGGTTTTTGGTGTTGTTATTGGAAAAACTTTTTCCCCCTCTTTTTTTTTTTTTTTTTGTCTGCGTACGAGTTCAACCAAACAGAGAGAATATAGTCAATATTAAGTCAATTATAAATATTTATAATCTACACATCTTAAAAAATCCTGTCAGTCACAAAGATAAGCTCACAGCAGCCGGATGGTCCGCCTGTGATTTGCATGCCACAGAACGCCTCAGCCTGCATCCTCATTTTGTTTTTTGACTCTGCACGCCTGCTTGTTCTCAGCGCAGATTAAATATAGAAGTTTTGTTCTTGTTGAGAATAGATGTTTTTTTTTTTTTAATATTTATTTTCTTCTGCTCGCTCTCACACACACATATACACACACACACACACACAATGCAGAGGCAGAGTATTGACGCCTGATGCTGATGGCGATTCATTATTAAGAAGGAAATCGTCTCAATGTGAGTGGAGTTTGTTATGGAGAGCTTTGTTCTCGTCATCCATATTGCAGGGCATCTTTGTCAGTCGGTGCTATATACTCTCTCTTTTCTTCTTCTTCTTCTTCTCTCTGTTTGTGTGTGTGTGGTTGTGTGTGTGTGTAGCTGAGAGTTTTCTGCTCTCTGTAGTGTTTGCCACTGTTGGTGTCCTAATAACTGAGTGCCTTATTTTTCAGTTGATGGAACGCTGAGATGCAGCGTCGCTCAGTTCGGCTCTTGCTCCCTGATAACGTCTGCTGCCGTCTTTGCTCGACTGCATTGTCTCTTCAAAAAAACATATCGGCCCACTTGAGTTTGGAGAACCTCCTCTGAGGAGCTTCATTTTTCTTCTTCTTCTTGTGCTCCTCTGTCATCGTCTTATTTTCCCCTCGTCCAGACGGATGTTATGTCTGTCTGGCCACGAAGCGTCCAATCACACGCGGACTTGTTCTCACTGCAATTAGTGTTCCGCTGAAATGATGACCTGACCCCAGATGTCCAAAATAACCTGGTCCTCTTTGTGTTCCCGTTCTGTTTCAAGTAACTTATTCAGGTTAGAATTTTTGATTTATGACCTGAGCTGGAAGGCAGTGTTACAGTACGTGACCCCAAGGTTGAGAAACACCGCGTTA